ACCTTCTTGTGGCAACACCAGAGGCACTCCAAGTGGCCAGATACTGGTCAAAGGACATTTAATCAACTACCAAGCTTGCAAATTTCGTGTTTTGTCTGTTCATTTGTTTGTTTTGTTCTGTTAGAAATGTAATACAATTGTCTGGTTGCCTGAATAAATAAAAAATATAAAACTAAGCCTAAGTCCACACCCTTACCTTTAACAACTGCCTAAATGCAGAAATGAAGTTGGCAAAGCTACCTGACCTTCAGGGATGTAACAGGCAGGTGTTTAAAAATACATTTTCCCCACCGCAGAGAAAGAGATGGGAGCACGGTAAGAAAAGGGAGATAAAGACTTAATTTCAATGTTGTGGTTGAATACTTTATGCTGTCTCTCATCCATTGACGGTCACATGTTGTAAGAGTCAGCAATTTATTCCCACTAACTGGTGCTTAAAACCACCACCAAGCACACCACGCTCAAGGCAAGGCTCTTCTTCTTCCCTCTCCCCCAAAATGTCTTGAGCAGGCAGAATAGGTGAAGTGGTCCTCATCACAATTAATTGTTGAGAAGAAGCCCCATGTTATTTCAAGTGCAGGCCTCTGCATGACCCTGGAGTTTGAACACAGCAATATCACAGAAGTGGTGTACTCTCCCAAAAGGGCTCCTGCGAAAAATCTGGCCCATTTTGAGTTCCTCTACAACAGTGTTTCTCAACCTTCCTAATGCTGCGACCCCTTAATACAGTACCTCATGTTGTGGTGACCCCCAACCATAAAATTATTTTCATTGCTGCTTCATAACTGTAATTTAGCTACTGTTACGAATAGCAATGTAAATATCTGATATGCAAGATGTATTTTCATTCACTAAATTTGGCACAAACACCCAATATGTCCAAATTTGAATACTGGTGGGGTTGTGGGGTTGATTTTGTCATTTAGGAGTTGTAGATGCTGAGTTTTATAGTTAATCTGCCATCAAAAAGTATTCTGAACTCCACCAGCTATGGAATTGAACCAAATTTGGCACACAGGGCTCCCATGACCAACAGAAAACACTAGAATGGTGTTTTTGGCTATACAGCCCAAAAAAACCTACAACAACCCACTAGAAGGGTTTGGTGGGCATTGACCTTGAATTTTAGACTTGTAGTTCACCTACAACCAGAGAGCACTGTGGACTCAAACAATGAGTAGCCGGCATGACTGCATGGAGCGCCATTACTTTCCTGCCAGAGTAGTACCTATTGATCTGCTCACATTTGCATGTTTTTGAACTGCTAGATAGGCAGAAGCTGGGGCTGACAACGGGAGCTCATGCCACTCCCTAGATTCAAACCTTCAACCTTTCGGTCAAAAAGTTTAGCAGCTCAGTGGTTTAACCCACTATGCCACTGGGGCCTCCAAAGCAGGATATAGGTAGATTAAATATTAATTAAATAAATAAAATATTAAATAAATAAATAAAATCTTATATAAAATTTTTTTGTCGTGTCAGGAGTGACTCCTGGTGTGAGAGAATTGGCCATCTGCAAGGACGTTGCCCAGGGACGCCTGGATGATTTTGATGTTTTTATCATCCTTGTGGGAGGCTTCTCTCATGTCCCCGCATGAGGAGCTGGAGCTGATAGAGGGAGCTCATCCGCCTCCCCCGGATTCGAACCTGCGACCTGTTGGTCTTCAGTTCTGCCAGCACAGGGATTTAACCCACTGCGCCACCGGGGGCTCCTCTTATATAAATAAAAATGTAATGTTTGTTTGTGGGATTAACATAACTCAAAAACCACTGGATGAATTGCTACCAAATTTGGCTACAAGACACCTACTAACCCAAAGAGTGACCATCATTCCAAAAAAATTGATTTTGTCATTTGGGAGTTGTAGTTGCTGGGATTTATAGTTAACCTACAATCAAAGAGCATTCTGAACTCCACCAACGATGGAATTGAACCAAACTTGGCACACAGAACTCCCATGACCAACAGAAAATACTGGAAGGGTTTGGTGGGTATTGGCCTTGAGTTTTGGAGTTGTAGTTCACCTACATCCAGAGAGCACTGTGGATCAAACTTGGCACAAATACTCAATATGACCAAATGTGAACATTGGTGGTTTGCTCTCCCATCCCTGCTTGGAGTCTCAGAAACAGCCCTCCCCTTGGCTGAGAGGCCAGCTGAGAGACCAGCCAATCACAGCAGGAGGAGGTCTTTTGGTGGAAAGATTTGCAGTCTGTTTCCAAAAAGGAAGAGAAGGACAGGTGGAGAGATCTTCATCTTTCTCTGCCAAAGGGGTTCCCAAGACCATCAGAAATACGTGTTTTCTGATGGTCTTTGATGACCCCTCTGACAACCCCCTCATAACCGCGAGGGGTTCCAACCCCCAGGTTCAGAAATGGCAGGCATCCACAGCAGTTATTATTATTATTATTATTATTATTATTATTATTATTATTAACTTTATTTGTACCCCGCTAGCATCTCCCGAAGGACTCGATGCGGCTTACACAGGCCGAAGCCTCAGAACACAATACAATAAAAACATAACACAACAATAAACAAAGCAAATCAAATAGTTAAGCAAAATGACAACAACAGTAACAATACATCAAGACACCACTTTAAGTGACAAGTCTCATATAATCTGGAATCCTGTAATTTGTACTTTGGTGAGGCACTAATACTCTGGCAGAGAAGGTGAAAGTAAAACTCCAACTCCCCAAAATCCAAAGTATGGAGCATTGGTAGTTGAAGTGGTGCCAAACTGCAATCACATTTTAGTGCAGATGCACCCTTTGGCTGTTGAAGGGTACAGCAACAATTCTAGAGGTAAAGGTGAAGCTAGCCAGTATACCGACATGCTGGGACATGTCCAGAGCAGGCAATCAAAATGGTTAAAGGTCTAGAAACCAAACCCTGTGAGGAATGGCCGAGGGAGCCATGTCTGTTTAGCTTAGAGAAAATAAATTTGAGAGGAGACATGATGGCCATGTTTCAATATTTGAAAGAGGGGGTGAGCTTGTGGAGACTAGGAGACAACAGAGCAATGGATTCAAATTTCAAGAATTAGGGATCTAGGTGTCAAAATATGCTGCTTGGGAGGGTGATGGAGTCTTCTTCTCTGGAGGCCTTCAAGCAAAGGCTGGATGGCCATCTGTTGGGGTGAATATATTCTCCTGCATGACTGAAAGGACATAGATTTCCAAATGAAAGGTGATCACAAGGGTTTGCTTGAGATGCCTTCCTCTTGGCATGTTTCCCCCCTTCGCCGTCCATTTGTGCCTCTTCAAATTTGACAGCACTGTTGGTAATAGCTGACCTTGTCAGGCTGAAAATACACTGCCCTATATCCCAAGATCTGAGCCCACGTGATCTGCTTTGAACTGGATTATATTAGTCTCAACTGCCAGATAATCTAAGAAGATTATGGGCCCTTCCACACAGTCATATAGCCTAGAATATCAAGACAGGAAATCCCACAATATCTGCTTTGAACTGAGTTATCTGAGTCTACACTGCCATATATTCCAGTTCCAAGCAGATAATGTGGAATTTTCTCCCTTGATTTTCTGAGTTACATGGCTGTGTGGAAGGGCCCTGAGTTGACACTGTCATATAATCCAGCTCAAAGCTGGAGTCTACATGGCAGTCTAGAACAGTCCTGGATATCAGTTCATCCACATTATGAGTATTCACAAATCCACAAACCAAAGGTACAGGAAGACACTTGGGGCCCTTCCAGACAGGCCCTATGTCTCATGATCCAATCCCAGGTTTTCTGTTTATCCCAGATTATCTGGCAGTGCGGACTCATGTAACCCAGTTTAAAGCAGGTGAACTGGAATCAGATCCTGGGATATAGGGCTGTGTGGAAGGGCCCTAAGGGTACCCAGTGGGTTTCAATGGCCAAGCAGAGATGTGAACCCTAGTCTTCCGAGTCACCTGCTTTGAGCTGGAATATAAAGCAGTGTGGACACAGAGAACTCAGTTCAAAGCAGATAATGTGGGATTTCCTGCCTTGATATTCTAGGATGTAGGGCTGTGTAGAAGGGCCCTAGTTTATCGGAGTCCACACTGCCATATATTTCAGTTCAAAGCAGATAAGGTGGGATTTCCTGCCTTGATATTCTGGGATGTAGGGCTGTGTGGAAGGGCTCTAGTTTATCGGAGTTCACACTGCCATATATTCCAGTTCAAAGCAAATAATGTGGGATTTTCTGCCTTGATATTCTGGGATATAGGGCTGTGTGGAAGGGCCCTAGTTTATCGGAGTCCACACTGCCATATATTCTAGTTCAAAGTAAATAATGTGAGATTTTCTGCCTTGATATTCTGGGATATAGGGCTGTGTGGAAGCGCCCTAGTTTATCGGAGTCCATACTGCCATATATTCCAGTTCAAAGCAAATAATGTGGGATTTCCTGCCTTGATATTCTGGGATATAGGGCTGTGTGGAAGCGCCCTAGTTTATCGGAGTCCATACTGCCATATATTCCAGTTCAAAGCAAATAATGTGGGATTTCCTGCCTTGATATTCTGGGATATAGGGCTGTGTGGAAGGGCCCTAGTTTATCGGAGTCCACACTGCCATATATTCCAGTTCTAAGTAGATAAGGTGGGATTTATTTAGCTGTGCGGAAGGGGCCTCAGATAACTCAGTTCAAAGCAGATCATAATGTGGATGTTCTGCTTTGATGGACTGGATTATATAACAGTGCAGAAGGGGCTGCAGATGATCTGCTTTAGAACTGGATTGTGTGAGACTGTCCAGTCCACTGCCAGATCGTCTGGGCTCAGATCCTGGGAGAGAGGGCAGTGTAGAAGGAGCCTCTGTTTCCCTATCAGGAATAGAAACGCTGGAGGGCTTCCTTTTCCTCCGCAGGGAAGAAGGAGAAGGGGCATGCCTTGCCGTCCAGGGGCCTGCCCTCTTTTCCCTTGCCGTGCCTTCCCTCGGGGCGGACTGCACCTGGAAGGAGGCTGGCTGGCGGGGGCCGGGCCAGGCATTTAAGGGCCCCGCTGTTGCTGCTGCTGCTGCATCCGCCGCGCGCCGCAAGGACTTCTCTCTCCTTTCCTGCCTCGCCATGCTCGCGCTGCTCTTCTTCCTGCTGCTGCTGCTCCCCGTGGCCTCGACGGCTGCTTGCCCGCACCTTGCTGCTGCTTCTGCTGCTTCCCGGGGCTCTGGCTGCAAGGCGTCGTCCTCGTGCGCGGAGGGCAAGGGCTGTGCGGGGCTGGTGCGCGCGCCGGGGGAGCCGTGCGGCGTCTACACTCCGGGATGCGCCCCGGGATTGCGCTGCGTGCCGCGGCCGGGAGAGAGGACCCCGCTCCACGCCCTGCTCCGCGGACGGGGCCTCTGCTTAGAAGGAGCAGCAGCAGGCAGGAGGAACCGGACCCAGGAGCAGCACCAGCAGCAAGAACTCCACGCAGGTGAGACTGAATCCCTTTTGCCTTCTTCCTTCCTGACATTGGAAGAGAGATCTGCCAGGTTCCTTTGGCTGCAGATGAGAAAGGGGAGCCACCCGACAGTCGCCACCCAATCCTGTACAATATTGATTTCAGGCTAGCTTTGCACACTGTGTAACACGACTTATGTTACTCCAGGGTTACCAATGTCGTTTCCTAATTGGTTCAGCAGGGAAAAAAAGTTGATCAAACTGCAAAAACTTTGTTAAATGAGGCCGCGGTGGTGCGGAATTGATTTATTTATTTATTTATTTATTTATTTAACCCCCAAACAAGATTTATTTATTTATTTATTTATTTAATATTTAATTAATTTGTTTAATTTGTTTATTTAATATTTAATTTATTTAATATTAATTTAATATATTTATTTAATATTTAATTTATTTGTTTAATTTTTTTATTTAATCATAGAATCATAGAATCAAAGAGTTGGAAAGAGACCTCATGGGCCATCCAGTCCAACCCCCTGCCAAGAAGCAGGAATATTGCATTCAAATCACCCCTGACAGATGGCCATCCAGCCTCTGTTTAAAAGCTTCCAAAGAAACTTATTTAATTTATTTATACCTCGCTGTATCGCTCCTGCCGGAGACTCAAAGCGGCTCACAATCAAAAACATTGCAGTGTCAGATATACAAATATGCAATAATAAAACAGTATATCATTATATATTATTTTATTTTTTTTTGGTCATGTCAGGAGCAACCTGAGAAACTGCAAGTCGCGCCTGGTGTGAGAGAATTGGCCGTCTGTAAGGACGTTGCCCAGGGGACGCCCGGATGATTTGATGTTTTCTCATCCTTGTGGGAGGCTTCTCTCATGTCCCCGCATGAGGAGCTGGAGCTGATAGAGGGAGCTCATCCGCCTCTCCCCAGATTCGAACCTGCGACCTGTCGGTCTTCAGTTCTGCCGGCACAGGGGTTTAACCCACTGCGTCACCCCTTTTCTCATAACGTTTTTATTATTATTATTATTATATATATATATATATATATATATATATATATATATATATATATATAAATATTTATTTAATATATTAGTGTTATTATATTACATTATTATTATATTATTGTTCTATGTTATATTATTAGCATAGCACAATATTATTTATTTATTTATTTATTTCGAACATTTCTACCCCACCCTTCTCAACCCCTGGGGGGAGTCAGGGCGGCTTACAATTGGCAATAATTCAATGCCACATCATAAAATACAGAATACAGAATAACAAATATAACAATTAACATGAACATTAATAAATAAAGATTAAAACAGTATACTTACACTCTGATTAGCTATTGCCCGTCTGGTGGCTGTTTAGCTAGCCATCTACTAGTGAAAATGCCTCTAGAACATAGCCATATAGCCCGAAAAAACCCACAAGAATCTAGTATACTTACACTCTGATTAGCTATTGCCCATCTGGTGGCTGTTTAGCTAGCCATCTACTAATGAATACTCCGCTTATTGTATATTATTATATTGTATTATTAGTATATTTTCTTGCATTATATTATTATTATTATTATTATTATTATTATTATTATTATTATTATATGTATATAGTAAAGGTAGGGTAAAGGTTTTCCCCTGACATTAAGTCCAGTCGTGTCCGACTCTGGGAGTTGGTGTTCATCTCCATTTCTAAGCTGAAGAGCCGGCGTTGTCCGTAGACACCTCCAAAGTCATGTGGCCGGCATGACTGCATGGCGCACCGTTACCTTCCTGCCAGAGCAGTAGCTATTCATCAACTCACAATGTTAGCATTGTATAATATTATATTGTACTATGCCACCATACTGCAATATTATTAGTAACATTACATGTAATATATAATATACAATTGTTCTATTATTATATGTTATTATATTGATATATATTATTATACCACTACTAGTATATTATACAATTTATACTATATCATATATTTTACTATATCATAAGCTGTAAGTATATATAATCTATATAAATAAAAATGTAATGTTTGGTTGTGGGATTAACATAACTCAAAAACTACTGGATGAATTGCCGCCAAATTTGGCCACAAGACACATATCAGGCCAAGGAGTGACCATCACTCATAAAAACACTGAAAAACAAAGCAGAAGAGACTTTAAAAGCCAAAAAACAAAAATTCCATATATCTATATGTATATATATACACACAAACACACACATATATATATGCATGCAAACACATATATACACATATACACAAAAATATACCCACACAGACTGGGCCATAGTAACGCGTGGCAAGGGATGGCTAGCAATAATAATAATAATAATAATAATAATAATAATAATAGTAATAATAGATAACAAAATCGACTTGTGATTTGTGATAGGAAACTCATACTACTTCATCACACTAATGAGGCTGTAAAAGGCTCCCCCCTAAACTACAAACCCCAGAATTCTGCAGGAGGCAGCAACCGGTATTAAAGTGGATTCATCTCTAGTATATAATATATTCTATTACAACATTATTAATCTTATATATATATAAATATATGTATGTATGTATGATTACATTACAGTGTTATTATTTCAATATATTAACTTGCTGACCAGAAGGTTGGCGGTTCAAATCCGGGGAGTAGGGTGAGCTCACACTGATAGCCCCAGCTCCTGCCAACCTATTTATTTATTTATTTATTTACTTATATACCGCTGTTCTCAGCCCAAGGGCGACTCACAGAGGTTCACAACCAGTAAAAACAGCAATAATTCAATGCAATAATGTAACAACAATTAACAACATATTATCCAAACAATAGAATTACTACATTAACCAATCACTATCATCTCACCATCTAAAAACATAATCCGAAATTCATTATCCATTGTTCCATTCTTATGTTCATTGCCAGTCATTGCACTAGTTATTCGAACGCCTGCACAAATAGCAGTTTGAAAACATGGAAATGTGAGTAGATCAAGCGGTACCGCTTCTGGAGGAAGTTAATGGCACTCCATGCAGTCATGCTGGCCAAATAACCTTGGAGGTGTCTATGGACAACGCTGGCTCTTCGGCTTAGAAATGGAGATGAGCACCACACCTCAGAGTCGGACACGACTAGACTTAATGTCAAGGGAAACCTGTACCTTTATGGAGGATGAAATAGAATATGGCCAGAACACTCCATATAATAATAATAATAATAATAATAATAATAATAATAATAATAATAATACTTTATATGCCGCTTTTCTCCCACAAAGGGACCCAAAGCCAAAGTATGTTAAAATATCATACAAAATCAACTGCAATTGAACATACAAATATAAGACATTATAAACAATCAAAATAAAAATAAGCATTTCAAACTATACCCCCTTCTATACTGCCATATAAACCAGATTATCAAAGCAGATAATCCACATGGTTTGCTTTGAACTGGATTATATGAGTTTACACTCCCATATAATCCAGTTCAAAGCAGATACTTTGGATTTTATATGACAGTGTAGAAGGGGCCCATGTTACACAGTTTTTGGTTTGGGGTTTAAAATGTTGTGTCTTTATTGTTTCTATCTTTTAAAAAAATGGAGAAAAAGTTTTATTCAACTGCTCCAACCTTGTTTTTGTGGGGCATCCTGCTTCACATTTTGCTATATTGTTACTGGCAGCCACCAAAAAGGAGTTTCTGAAGGATAACAATTACTTTCAAAATAAGCACCACACAATGAAACAGGAAAGAACACTTTGAATTGAACCAAATGTGGCACACAGGACTCCCATGACCAACAGAAAACACTAGAGGGGTTTGGTGGGCATTGACCTTGAGTTTGGGAGTTGTAGTTCACCCAGAGAGCATTGTGGACTCAAACAATGATGGATCTGGACCATACTTGGCACAAATATTCCATATTCCCAAATATGAACACAGGTAAGAGTTTGGGGAAAATAGACCTTGACATTTGGGAATTGTAGTTGCTGGGATTTATAGTTCACCTACAATCAAAGAGCATTCTGAACCCCACCAACAACAGAATTGGGGCAAACTTCCCACACAGAACCCCCCATGAACAACAGAAAATACTGAAGGCCATCATGTCCAACTCCCTTCACTGGGGCAAGAAAACGTAATCAAAGCCCTCCTGACAAAGAGTCATAGATATAGATAGATTGCTATGGTTCACACACATACAGATATAGTATGATAGATATGTTGCATGTTCCAGAGTGGGCAAACCAGACACTCTCCACATCAACACTGACAAAGAAACAGCAAAAAATACTGTTTACACGCAAGCATAAAGACATTACATACATTAGAAATCAACCACTGTCTCATTATTTTCCAAATCACCAGACTGGGCCATAGCAATGCGTGGCAGGGGACAACTAGTATCTATATAAATAAAAATGTAATGTTCGTTTGTGGGATTAACATAACTCAAAAGCCACCCTGGGATGCCGGTCTGTGATGGAGGAAATATGTCAAATCTAGGATGAAATTGTCCCCGACAGGCCCGTAGCCAGGATTTTGATTGGGTGGGGGGGCTGAGTCTGAGTGAAAGAAGGTCTACCCTAGCAAACCTTTTGTATCGTTACCCCAATACCCCCATGCATATGAGATATATTGATGATCAGATCACGATATGAATAAACATAACAGTTTAAATAATGTACTAGTGAGGCCTTTTCGCAGACCACCATGAGAATTTCGAAGGGGGGGGGCTGAAGCCTCCCAAGTCCCCCCTCCCCCGGCTACATGCCTGGTCCCGGAATGAATGCATTCCTTGGATGGTTAGTGTTTGGGGAGGACATTGACAACATTTGGGCTACATGTTCATGACACTCACTATAACCTGCAATGTCAGTTGAGGGAATGCCTTTGGAGACTTCTCAGCACTTGGAATTATAGCCTGTTTGTGGAGATGGGAGGCTGTCTGTGTAAGTGGACACCTCCGCCACATATACATTTTTCACTTACATTATGTGTATAGAA